AGTATCAGGAGGAGATGGACAATATATTCAGAGGCAAAAAAATTGTTTAGCCCGATGTTCTGTTGTCAACAGATACCATTCAACATGTAGGAGTAGAGCCAGCTAATAAAGAACCCATTCAATCTACCTCAACAAATTCAGCTATATTTCAGACCCTAGGAAAAGGTTCATCATTGAAAAGAAGAGATCTCACAGCAACTAAAAATCTCACCTTAGAGCAATTAAGAAAAGATAGGAAAGAATATAAAGAGAGAATAGAAGTTGAAAAACAGAAGTTAAAAGTTCAAAATCAGAAAGTAGTCTTGATGAAGGAAGGAAATGATCTGTTAAGAGAAAGAAATGAGATCCTGAAAAGAGACACTACCTAACTTCATAAATCCACTTTCTGGAATTTTTGACCAAAGAATTGTGATTTGATTTTAGTATTTATTATTCAGTTTATGTTCGTAGAATAATGATACTTTTCATCCATTACACATATGGGTGAAGGTCGACCCAAATTCGGATCTTAGACAATAAAGAAATGAATGAGCTCCTAATAAGAGACAAATTGTTGATTTTATACCAAAAAATTGTGATATAATTTCAATAAGTTTATTTTCGTGAAAGATATTGAGTTCATTAATTCTTTTATTCATAAATTCACAACCATAATTGTTCTACCTATTTGCATATTTCAAGACAGATTGATTTCAGTTTCATTACCTCTACAGTCATGAAGTGTTTGCTACCTGATCCCTAATAGCACGGCCTCTCATGTCATCTACATCATCATCTGGTTGTTCATAACCTAGTGCAACCTGCTCATTATTTACGTCCATCCACTTCCACTGCATCATTGTCCACAATTAAGTCGCCATCTGATGCCATGGACTACACATGCTGTTTTGATGAAATGACAAATTATCCTAATTTTTCTCATTTTTACATGGTACATCTTTCGAAACGTCTGTTTTAATAAAACAAAACAATGTTTTATGACATATCGATTTTTTGATAACTTTCAATTATAATTTTGCTGTCGTCTAATTAAGTTGCCCCTACCTTTATAAGGGGTTAATAAATTAGGAAGCGGAGGATAACCACTATCTCCCAAAAGATAATGTCTGCCATATTTCTCATCCAGGCTGGTTTTCAATGGAGACTTTCTGAATACTCTGCTATCATGCACCCAACCAGGGAATCGAATGAAAACATCTATTTCACATCTATGATCACAAACAGCTCGCATCTGAAGGGAAACAATTATTATCCATCAGTTGGTACTATTTTAGTATAAAGTTTTTCATATAAAAAATAATATGAACCTACCGGGATAGAATAGTATCCTTTCCTATTGATGTAGGAGTCTGGGTAATTTTCTGGTTTATCCAATTCAATGTAAGTGGCATCAATGGCTCCAATTACATTTGGTAATTCATTTGCGGAGAAGTGCTCTTTAATGATTTTTTTTATTTTCGTTTGGCCGTTTTATTATTTCTGGGAAGAGATTACTCAGAAACATAGTGATTCGATGAATAATTTTATGTATAGAACTTATTGTCACATCAAATTTATCAGCAACGTCTCGAAAACTGGAAGTCTGGTGCCCCATGTACCATGAATGAATGAGAACCTGAAATTAAAGTTTCCATGAAGAAAATTCCAAATACCAATAGTTTCATCATACTTAATGCATAGCTAGTATGTTCCAATATTGGCCCACTTGACTATTGAAATACGGACTCATTTCAAACCGTTCACCTAAGTAACCGGCAGTTTGCCTTGTTCCTATTGATGTAGGAGTCTTGGTCATTTTCTGGTTTATCCACTTCAATGTGAGTGATATCAATGACTCCAATTACATTGACCTGACTTTTCTAAACCATTTAACGTTACTACGGATGCATCAAATTACGCGATAGGAGCAATATCATACCAAAGACCCATTGGTAAAGATTTGCTAATTGCTTATGTTTCAAGAACCTTAAACCCCGCTGAATGTAACTATTACACAATAGAAAAAGAACTTCTTGCAATAATTGGGTCGGTCAAGCACTTTCGACTATACTTATTCGGAAAAAAATTTAATATAATCAGCGATCATAAACCTTTGGTTATTTTCTCTGAAGAACCAAATTCCAAACTAATCAGATGGCGACTGAAATTAAAGGAATATGATTATAATGTAATTTACAAAAACGGTAAATTGAATACAAATGCAGACGCTTTATCCCGAGTAGAAATCCACCCACTGGAAATACTCCACAGAATCAACAATCTTGACAATATTTCAATAATACATAAAATTGAAGAAATACCGATAATTGCCCAAGAAGAATTAGACAAGATCATTGATACGGAATTATCCACTCATGCAATTTAGGCGAAAGTTCAAACAATACCAATAATGAGTTTCACATTAGCAACAATACTAAAAATAAAATCAATATTCTGTCCAATATAGTAATTAAAGAAGCAGACAAAGTAAATAAATAACCTAAATGTTAACGAAACTGTCCATACTAGTCATGAAGAACTCGTTTCAACAATACCCTACACTGACAAAACGATAAATACCTAGAAAAATCAAATAATAGGTTTGTTCCAACACACAAATTGTAATCGTTCTACAATCGTTATCAAAATCGTTCTCGAAATTTGTTACGCAGGCGTCAAGCTATTACCGTTCTAATTACGGTTCCAAAATAAATCATGGTTGGAACGGTTTGGTTACTGATTGGAATCAATCATGGTTATCACGGAATGTATTAAACATAACCATACTTTTATGTTCGTAAGGTAAAGGCAAAAGGTTGAGCTGAAACGATGAATAATGTATTAGGAGGTAAATTATATTGTATTATCACAGAATACACCAATAGGTGTATTTTTTTGGTATTATTACTAAAAAGGTTGATGTATGAACTGAAGAATTTTTTTCAGAATTACAAGAATACGTGTGTTAGTCCTAAGTACGACGAACATAAATATACCTACTTCCAATGCAGCAGAAACTACTTACCCTATCTCGAATTACAGCAACACCCACATCAACTTCAAATTCATCATCTTCAACTAGATCTTCTTCTTCATGGACATTAATATTTGGCATTTCTGGATCAACATTAACAAGAAACTCATCATCTCTTGCTATATTATGCAATGCACAAGCTGCCCTTATGAAGTGAGCAATGAACCGTATACTTCTTAATTTGACATGATACAGTTGTCGAAACTTCTGTTTTAAAATACCAAAACAATGTTCAATAACATATCTGTTTTTTGCTAGTTTGACATTATAATTAATTTGCCTTCGGGTTAAGTTTCCTCTATCTTTGTATGGTGTCAATAGGTTATTTTGCAAGGGATAGCCACTGTCCCTTAATATAAAAAAAAATTAGGATAGCTGTTGAGTGGGGTTTTCAAAAAGTCACCTGTCAGTTTGCATTTCTAGATTTCAGAAAAAATAAAAAATTACTTTTACAAGACATAGAAAGTATGTACAAAGTTGGAATACTTTTGAGCAATTGTCATACAACTTTATATGGCAGTCAGACCAATCAGTTCTTCCATGAAGTGTCACCAGTGCTGGGGGAATATTTAGGAAATTGTTTTTGACTATATACCTAATTTCAGTTTCAAATATTCAAATGTGCACTGAGTTTCAATATACCCTTTTATAGTTGATAGTCCATGTACAAAGTTTTGGATAAGAATGCAATAAAGACAACATTAATAAATTATTTATTTTTGGGATGAAAATGCAATAAAGACAATATCAATAAATGATTCAATAACTTCACAGGAAACGCATAACCAAAAAAATAACGTTCCAGAAAAATAAACAACAAATAATTATGTGCTAATAGACTAAATTCAACATAAATTAACTTGAAAGTAAAAAAACAAATAAATATCACAGAAAACTAAAAATCATTTCGAGCTGCTAACTACAAAAAACTTACAGTACATATTTGTGAGTCAACTCAAAGTAGCAATATTGATAAATTATTCCGAAAGTGAAAAACACATCAAATACCTACCTATAACACGAAGAAACATAATTTGGTTAAAGCAGTCTTATGGCATCAATCTTTATATTTTTGTAACCTCTTCAAAAGTGTGTCCTGAAATATCTGTTGTGCTGATATTTGAGCTTATAATTAACTTTTTGCTTTATATCACATTTAAATTTTTCGAACTGTAATTCATTCTTTTTTTTTCTGTCTTCAATCTCCATATTCTCCAATCTCAATATTTCTCTCAACAAGCTTCAATTTCTGCTCTTGCGATTGTAATTCTCTCAATTTTATTTCCTCCTTTTTTTCGTTTTTATTTTTTAGATATTCCATGTAATTTTTTCTGAGGACAACACTTTTATTTTGTCTGTTCCTAGCTATACCAGGTCCTGAAAATAAATATATCCTTGTAATTGTATACCAGAATATTAAAATAAAGTAGGTACCTCCTCAACTTTTCACGGCTGATGCAATTGAGTACCTAACAGTTTGCTCACCTGTTGATTTTTTTGCTGTTAGTCGGCTTTTTGTGTTTTGGTTTTGGTCAATTACATCTAGAGTATCTACTTCACCTACAGAAATCTCAGTTGATGGTAAGTTTGTATTGGTATCTGAAAAAAATAGTTTGCAATACAAATTTTATAATCATAAGATAATGAATTACCATAATAATCATGTTTCCCTGATATAATTATTTCCTCAGAAGTTCCACTACAATCCTCACTATTCACTATGAAAGCATCTATTGCAATATTTTCCCTGGTTTGCCGGCCTAACTCAGCAATTTGTTTTTTTTTGTGAATAATTTTTTTTGGTAGGCATTGGAAATTCTCCACATAAGTCAGAGATTTATTGTAAAAGAGTATCCTTTTCAGTTTACATTTCTTCTGTTCAACTTCTGAAAAATATAGAGTATAGAATACAAAAATCATTGGCATCTTGTGAAGAAATAAGAAAGACAATGCACATATTCCACCGGAATTTGTCACCATTAGATTTTTTCTTCCATAAGGTGAAAAGAAGCATTAGATGATCTTTTAATGTGCGAATAACAAATTCTTTTTCCGTCACTGATTTTATATTAACTTGTATTGGGTTCCACTTCTCAGGATTCTAAAGAGGATTTTGCCCAACAACTTCGCGTAACAAACATAAATTGTCATCCGACGTAAATCCCAATCTTTTTGTATAGGATATATTTCATAACTAAAATATTATTTACATAATATTACTGAAAAAAATATAAAAACACCTCACTTCATAAAATAAACAAACTACCCACAACTTGACCTCGAAAATAAAAACAAACACATCTGCAGTTTCTGATCAGCTACTGGATCTTTCCGATCTAGCGCAACGTTTTACACGAGGTTTTGTTCTGCCGTAAATAACGTGATGCGCTAACTGTATTACCGCAACGTGTCTCTAGAACCCATTCTGCGCATGCTCAACTATCAATATAACGTCTGCGGTAATAACGCCGCACGGGATTTGTCACAGCAATATTTCTCTAATATAAATTACCGATGTGCAGGGTGAAATTGTGATAGCTTTCGAGCTGCAATTTCATTTTTTGTTAACTAACTCAAATTAAATTTCAGTAGTGGCAACAAGAACTAAAATTAAATTTTTTTTTCAGATTTCTGGCAACGGGAGACTCATTCCTTACATTATCATTTATTTTTCGAATAGAAAGTGTGCATTGCTCTAGTTGAAGAGTTGATGCCTGAGGTTATGCCAAAACCATCAACCCAAGATTGAAAGAGAATAGCTGAAGAATTTTGGACTTCCTGGAATTTCCCAAACTACTTAGGTGCCAAGAACGAGAAACGTTCAACAATTTTTGCTCCACCAAATAGTGGCTCGCAATTTCGTAGTTATAAACAGACTTTTTCAATAGTTTTGTTAGCCGTCGTTGATGCCACCTATAAGTTTATAGCAATAGATGTAGGATCATATGGAAAAAATAATGATGATGGAATATTGACAAATTCAAATTTTGATAAAGCTTCAGCAAAAAATGATATGAACATACCACCAGATACAGTTTTACCAAATGCTAATACACTAGCACCATATGTACTGGTGTGAGATGAGGCATTTCCTTTGAAACATTATTTATTACGACCATATCATCCTGGCACAGTCATCTCTGGAGATATTGAAAAACGAATATTTAATTATCCGCTCTCCCGTGCTAGGCGAGTCTCTGAATATGCGTTTGGTCACTCGCAAATGGAGACAATTTTTTCGATCTATGAATGCACTGCCGGAAAATATCGATCTATATATTTTAACAACTTCTATTTTACATAATTACATCAAAGACATAGATGTTAATTTTGCTAATATCAACACTGATACCAATTCCACAGAGCGTAAAAGTGAACCAGTAGTTAGAACTCTTCCTCGTCAAGGTGGTAGTGTCCAACAAGATGTATTTAATATTCGTGAAAATTTCAAAGTTTTTTTTTTATTCTCCATCTGGAGAAATTCCGTGGCAACAAAACCAATTCTTATAAAATAAGTTTTCATATTTTCTATGTTGAGTTGAGCTATTATAAAATTTTAGAATAATTTTTTGAGGCCATGTTATACAGACCCCCATATTTTCTCACTTCTTCTATTGAAAGTTCGTTTTGATCAAGTCTTTCTTCGTCACTCAGAGTTATTTAATTTTACAAACAAGCAGATATTTCAAACAAATATTAAACCTATGTAAACAGAGACGTCAGCCGACAAGCACCGACACGTGAAAAATGCTCTCGCTACAATCGCCGACGGAGGTGACGGCGACGGGAGGAGGACGTGACTAGGGATGTTTTATTCAAATCGATTATTATTTTCTTATAATCGATTTTTATAATTGTTTTTTTGTAGTAAATTTAATCGATTTTTAAGACATCGATTATATAAATTACGCGTTTTAATCGATTTTTATAAATAACGCCATCTATGCGATGGATGAAAAGTTTCAAAATTTCATAAACAGTGCCATCTATGAGTATGCGGTGGATGAAACAGCTCGAGGTAAGTTCAATATCATTTACAAAAAGCGGCGCCATGTGTAGGTAAGGTACGTATGTAGATGTATGCATATGCATGTTGTTTCAGTCAGTGTAGTGAGTGAGTGAGGTAAGATAATATCGTTGTTGGTAAACAATAAAAATGTCTTCTAACCGTAAAACACCTGAAAGCGACTGGCGAAAGTACTTTATAACGAAAAAGGATTCTACAGCAATATGTATGTACTGTTCGAAAGAATTGAAAACTTGTAATAATACTACTAATTTGAAGCAGCACATAGTACGAAAACATCTCACTAATTATTGGAATATGAAAAGCATGCAGATTTTTATATAACAGAAAAATCGATTTTTTCGGAGAAATCGATTGTTTATTTTATTAAAATCGATTTTTGACAAATCGATTAATATTGAATGAAGAAAAATCGATTTATATTTAATCGATTCTTTTCCACTATTCTCACATCCCTAGACGTGACTGATAGTGTGAATGTGTTCATTGCTTGCAATGTAAGAATATTTATCGTGACGGTGACGGTGCGGAGACGTGACGGTGACGTTACGTATAGTGGAAATCGCGCCATACGGGTTCGGTCAATTTAGGCAAATATGCATCTCGAAAGGTAGTTTATAATATTGCACGCGAAATATCGAATGAAATGCTTGATGAATCCTTGATGCAATTTTGGAAAATTAAAGAAATTCCACATAAAACAATATTCACAAAAAAACAATATTGTGAGAATTATTTTGAAAAAACTACGAGTCGAACTTTGGATAGTAGATTCATGATTAGAGTTCCTTTTTCAGAACATGTCACGAATTTTGGTGATTCAAGATCATTTGCATTAAAACGTCTCCATTCGGTTGAGAATAAGTTCGAAAGGTATGAACATTTGAAAGATGCCTATACGGATTTCGTAAAACAATATGAGTCAATGAATCACATGACATTCTTAAATAAACTTTGATGGACACACGAACCAACCTTCTTATATTCTACCTCATCACGCGGTAATGAAACTCAGCAGTACTCCGACTCAATGCAGAGTTCTATTCAACGGATCGGCTCAAACCAGTGCCGGCACGTCACTGAATGAGTTATTACTAGTAGGTCCCAATATGCCAGAAGATCTCTTCTCTATCGTAACCAGGCTTCGGTTACATAAATACGTTCTAAGCGCAGACATTAAAATAATGTTTCAGAAAATAATCATACATCCCGATGATACAAAATATCAGCAAATGATATGGCGTTATAATGACTCAGAACCGGTAAAATTATAAAATCTCAACACAGTGACACACGGAACAGCATCAGCCAGTTATCTTCCGACGAAGGTTTTGCAGCAACTTTCATATGACTTTCAAGAAAAAATTTCCGCGGAGATGCTCAATAATCCGACATTCATTCTATATGGACGACTTACTAACATGTATCGATAGGTAGTTTGTGGAAACCCAAAAGTTATTGAACTGTACGGTTTCAGACCTTTGTAGCCAACAGTGTTACTAAAATCACTGAACTCACCAGTACATGTGAATGGAAGCATGTAAGGTCCGAAGATAACAAGGCAGCTATAATATCAAGAGGTAAAAACCCTAACGAGCTCTATTCTCAAAAAATGTGGTGGCTCGGACTTACATTTTCGCTTGAAAATAGAAGTTTTTATAACCATGGCTCACATTCTTCAGACATGACAGAAGACATTCCTGAAATGAAACCTTCGACAATGTTTCTAATATCCACAAATAAAAATCGCAGCACAGCTATCTTTGACAAATTCTTGATTCTCTTAAAATTGCAACGCGTAATAGCTTATTGCATTCGCTTCACGACAAACGCGTTAACAAAATGCAAGAACAATACAAGTCTTACGGTAGAAGAGCTCAGCTACTCTTTGAATTTATTGATCCGAATCGCTCCAGAATCAGAGTTTTCACAAGAAACTCGTTAATGCAAGTCATCGCGTTCACTGCCATCTAACAGTAGACTTATAATTCTCAATCCATTCATAGATTCAAACAATCTAATTAGGGTTGGCTGAGTTTTTAGGTTTCAGGCAATGAAAGTCTATTAGTATATAACTGAATCAAAATATTGTTAGAAATTAGGTGATAGGTGATTGACATGTGTCAAGCCAAAAACTTAAATTTTTACTTGTCTCTACAAAGAGGATAGCGTGATTATCGATGTGAATATATAGAGATTCATGCACCATACTTTTCCATCTTTTCTGTCCGTAATATATATCATACGATTTATTAGAATTGAATTGCAAGTTGTGTGCGACAGACTTATCAAATAGTGTTGAATATTTTGATCAATTAAATTGACGACCTTTTTATTTTAATGGCAACTGAAAGAGGTATATATTTCGGTATCTTCGGCCCAGTAGTGCATTTTGTATGTATGTATGTATTTATGGAAATCACTCGTGTGAAGGGTGAAATGAAGTGGCCCCAATACAGAACCCGGTGAAACTCCAAATCTTCTGACGAGTTAAGTGGATTAGTCACTATCCAGTATGACACTTTGAGTCCGCTCTGATAAATTATTGTCTAAAAGAGATACTGCGCTTCGAGAGAAATAAATAAACTTAAGTTTTGACACAAGATAGATAAATTTACTGTATCAAAAGCCTTGCTGTAATCAAGCAAAATGAGACAAGTCAATTTTTTTCATCGCATAACTTGAAAATATCATCAGTGGTAAGGATAAGTGCTATTGTACTAAATTGTGGGAAAAACCGTGATTGCATATAAGAAATGAGATTTATCTCCACAATGTGGTTGGAAATATGTTCTTTTATGATCATTTGTAGTACTTTCGACAGAGTAGGAAGTAGGCTGACGGGACGTATATCAGACAATTCGATGGGATCGTTACATTTTGCTAGAAAAGTAACTCTATCATGTTTCCATATAGATGGAAATCGAATTGTGATAATGTAATTGAAAATGAATGTTATATACAACAGCAATTTTTTCAATACAAAAGTTGAATTGCTTGAGTATAAATGATATTTTGCGGTAATTAGCTAAAAGGTGTATTTTTCTTGGGTTTTACAATAATGAGAGAATTTATTAGCTGTTTCATCCAGTGAAATTACAGTTTTTCCTTCTTTTCAATATATTTCAAATAAATGTTTTTTCTGTTGTTCAATCATGTAACGTAATAATTACTGCAGATTTGCTAGGCTAGTGCAGTGGAGATTGGAGTGGTGTTCTTTGGACTGACTTGCCAGTTTCAGATTTTTTATTTTGGTGTCAAGCAAGGTTCTTGAAATTGAATTTTGGCTGGACGCCAGAATTTTTTTTTAAGAAAAAAGGATAAAAATTCAAACTTCCTTCAAAATATGTATAACGATAAATTTGCAAAACATATATAACGATACTTTCCTTCTATTATTCGCAAAACAATAAAACATCAATCAAATGTATATGAAATATAATAAAATAAATATGCAATCAAAACAATGAATTGTACATAAATACAATGCAATATTTACAGAGGTACCTGTTAGTTTTTACAATAGTAGACAGCACCCGGTTCGGTGTATGTTGTCTTGTATTCAGCGTTCAATATGTCTTGTGTGAAGCGTTCAATATGTTGTACCTTTCTGGGAACGGAGCGTGGACCTCGAAGACCAGCTACTGGTTGGAGATCTCAGTAGGGCTACTATGTTCACCCTTGTATCCCTTGGAAACTGGACATGGATTTGAAAACTGGTAGACTGGTAGTAGGTCTCAGCAGGGCTTCTATATTCACCCTTGTATCCCTTGGTAACTATACCTTGGAGGTCAGCAGGTCAGGCGTGGCTCACCATGGTAGTGGTATCATGGAAACGATATGAACCGATATGAACTAACGAATCAGGTAGATGTACACTACACTTGAACCTTGGATGTCTATCGTAACTAGAGTCTCTCAGCGAATATACAATTGATTGAGTACAATATATCGAGTACAGAGAAGAAAATTTATATACATGAAATCTAACATCAAAGATCTTGAACAACAGTTTCACAATAATATTGTGAAACGCTTAGCAAGCGTTAAGACTAAGGTTCATCACTGAATGTATATATACAAATATATATGATTGAAACCGTTTATATATACAAAATATTACAAATGCAAGTAAATTAAATTCAAAGAATATTCAAACAAAGAACATTTTTGTTCATAGAATCAGAACATCAGTTAACGTGACAGTGCGTTCCAAGAAAGAGAAAATCAAAGCAATCCAAGTTCCAAGTGGATGAGTCTTGAGTTCAAGGTATTTCATTCAACTTATTCGAATAATTTTTAAAGGTAAAGATAATACAGGGAAACTTGGGGTACAGTTAAGATAAGATAAGTTAAATTTTCACAATTTATAGTGAAGATAAGAAATTCCAACTTTTGAGAAAATTTGTCACTGGATCTGACGGCTCAAAAGTGACTCCGGGTGAGATCCGACACACAATTATTGATTTAAAATTTGGAAGAAACGTGTGCTTCAATACTTACCCGGAATCATCTCCAGCCTTAATGTACAGGAATCCATGTGACTTGCTGCGTTTCCTATATGTATATTTTCCAAGCAGAAACAACCTTCAGCTTCTACTCCGAACGAATTAATTTGCCATCCTATTGGAATTTCATCCGTTATACAGCCAAATACTGTGAAAATAGAGACGCAGTCAAATTCCTAAAAATTAGAAAATTTCACTTTGCGAAATTGTGAACGCTAAATAGATTTGTCCCTCACGATAAATGATCTCAAGACACTCGTGAACGGAAGATATATCCACTCAAATACTAAAGGATTACAAAAATAAATCAAGATATGGATTGTATGAAACCATGCATATCGCCATTTTTTTTGATAACCCAAAATTAAGATAAATATTTCTAGGAACACTTCTCTCACGTACCTGTTATTCACTTCAAACGATGAACACTTTATCAAAAACGGAAAAAGGAAGATTAGATCGATATATTCAAACAACGTTATCAATTCAAGCGATCAATTCATCAATCAATGTTGCTCCGACCATTGTCAAAACAGAAGAGAGCGTGCCCTCAGTTCCTTCGAGAAGTATCGAATTCGGTCATGCGTATTTTATTTTACTTACTGACGCGAACTTGAAATTGCGTTCTGTGAAAATATAAGTGTTGTAGATTTGATTGATTGATGATTCGGCTATCTTCCGCGAGATGCTTTGGCATGTAAAAAATCATTATTATTGATTTATTGAACAAATCCAATGTTTTACTCTTTGTCACTAGATAGTGGGCTAAATTCTATAGCCTATAGCTGGTCGTGCTTTCATCTTCACGGCTCTCACACGTGTGTGTGGATATATAGTATTAACGGTGATCCAAACTTCATTAAAGCTCATTGTTCCCATTTGTGTTGAGAGCATCCGCTGAGAAACTTTCAATGAAATTTTTATTTTTTTGCAGGTCGAATGTAAAAAAGCCCAACCAAAGGAAGTGATGCTGCCTGCGAACCTGGCCAAAACAAGGGCAGCCGGCCGGGGAGCCTATGGTGAGTTGCTAATGCTGAACCCCGGCCCTGTAACAGCCACCTCTAACGCGTCCTCGACCTCCGCTCTACGTTACGCGCCTTATCCGTTACCGATGGCCGCCACCACCGGACATTCCATTCCGGTGGCGGCTATCGCGGTCGCGCCGGGTCCTCTACATTACTCCTTGTACGACGTGACGGGCTGCAAAAGAGTATTCGCAGCCCCTGGCGCCCTCAGACCCCTGGCAGCGGCCAGAGCCACCCCGGCACTGGCTTATTCCATGAGCGATCTGTTAGGGCTACAAGGGTTGGCAGACTTTCCTACTGTTTATACGAATACGCTGCCAACAGGATTGGGGTTGTAAATGTTTTTTTCTGTGCTTCTTGTTGACCAACTAGGAGTTTTGGAAATCTACATAGATTTCTTAAGTCGTAGAATAGAGTAGAGTATGCATACTTATATGCGATGATTCATGTTAACACATACAGGGGGAATTATTATTTCACATTCCTTTGAGAATACTAGTTTTCATTTGATAAAATCTTCCAGAAGGCTTCATGACACAAAAATATATCAAGAAGTTTTACTTTCGACATCTATGAACGACATACATATGGAAGTAATTGAATTTATAGCAAAATGCGTTACAGTTTGGTAAAAGTAAACAAATGAGTGGTGAAATTGAAATTATCGCAACTTGCTTGAGTACACTGTAATTTTCACTGTGAAAGGTTCACAATAGCTTCTCCAAACAGAGCTGAAATAATTTCTTCTTAACTATAACGTCTCAACATTTTAGATTTTTTAAACATCAGGTATTTCCAACAGATATTAAATTGTGTACTGAAATCAACTACCTGCGGATATAATGCTCAACTTACTAGTGAAAGCAGGTGAAAATAAATGAAAAAATGATAGATTTCAACGGATTAAATTGTCTAGGGAGACTAAGAATGATTATCTGGTAAGAACTTATTGGAGGAAGGAAACTTTTTCGAATCAATTTTTCATTACTTGTGATGCACTGTTTGGAAACTTCGGTGTAGTAATGAATATTACTGGAGTTTTCTCCCAACACCAAATCTTTATTTTGACTCGACAAGAGCTTTGATCACCAAGTGATCATCTTCAAGAGGAAGATCAAACTAAATATATTTACAATGTTATCATTATTCATATCATGGATACCTCTTCTAGGTACCTGTGTCTTAAATTAATTTCACAATATTGTCTTATCTACTAGCCTTAAATTGATTTTACAATGTGTCCTTATGTAATAGTCAGGTAAATCTAATAATTAAAATATTATTTTAACAAGCTATATAATATAGTATTAGGTATTGGTCCACCATCGTCATTCATAATGTTATTATGTTTACTTATTTCTACACTCTCATAGGCATCTAGATGCCTGTTGTTGTTAACTTGTCTAACTAATCTCAATGAACTAAAGTCTATGGAATGATTTTGTTGCAAAATATGATGGGCGACTGCTGATTCTTCTGGTCTTTCATATTTTAGGTGTGCTGAGTATTTCTTATATCTCACTTTAATAGATCATTTTGTCTGTCCATAATATTTTGCATCGCAGTCCTTACATTTAATTTCGTAAATTCCAGCCTTTTCCCAATTCTCGACTTTGTCTTTTGGATATCCTAAAAGGCTCTGTAGTGTATGACTCGTTTTAAAAACCACCTTCATACCTAGTTCCTTGAAAATATTTCGAAAGTTCTTCGTATATTGGTGATATGGAACTGAAATATGCTTATTTCGGTTTTCGTCGTTTTAAAAGTCGAGATTTCGTTCATTCTTTATCTAAAATTTCTCTTCCCTATTATATCATCTACAATAACCCTCGGAAAACCGTTACTGGCTGCTATTTCCCGTATTGTACCTTTTTTTTTGTGAATCTCTCATGTGTGAGAAGAAAAGTCAAAAGACGTACTAGAAAATTCAGCCTAGCACGTTTTTGCTGTCCAGGGTGATGTGAACTGTCAGTAATATACCTATACGTGCTTGTTTCCTTTCTAAATACATCGTGTTCTAGCCCTCCATATTGACTTCTCATTAGCAAAACGTCAAGAAATGGAAGTTTTCCTTTACTATCTAACTCATACGTGAATTTTATTGATGGAAATCTCTTACTTCGAAAGGAAATAAAGTCCTCAATATTCGAATTTTTGGTATCGAATATCGCGGAAACATCATCCACTTACCTTAGCCATATCCTAGGAAAATACTTCGAGTTTTCTTTGGTTTCCATTTCGAATCTACTCATGAACAGGTAGGGGGACAAAGGTTTACTCATAGCCGTTTCCTCTTGTTGTTCATAAAAGCAACCTTCTACCTGGAAACGGACGCTAGGAAACAAGGAAGTAACATTAAAAGAAACCAAAATATCACCTTCTTGCAGAACGATGTTTTTTGAATGTTTAATGCACTCTAAGGAGTTTTTTGTTCACGTTAAGAAGAGAATGACGTCACAAGATGACAAGTTACGGCGTTGCCAACATGTGCACTATTTCGAACTTACAAATTTTTTGGTACTGTTGATATGTTTTATTGCTATTATCCTTAATCACTATCAACTTACTTTCAGTATTTGTTGAGACTATTTCGACAATGCTTTAGGCATAATAAATATACGCAGGTCTTATCAAAGGTTCCGCAATAGGCAAGCCTTCAAATTTCTTAGTGAGCCATTTTGATATTTGATTGGTAAGAGATTCAATGGCTAACATGATGGGGCGCATTGATTTTCCCGGTTTTTGGATTTTTGGGAGGCAATATAGTTTTGACACCCTTGGGTTGGAAACTTGTTCTGTTTCAGTTGAGGGGTAAGTATGTTGTCTCATTTCTGGAGGGCGTCTTTTGCTTCGACAATCATCTTTGCTAACGGGTTCCTGGACAATTTCGCATACAGTCTGTTAGTGATGAGAGTATTGACCCTTTTGTAGTATTTCGATTTATCCATAATTACTACTTTGTTACCTTTGTCGGCTTTCGAATAAGAAACTTCTTTATCTTTCGCTTTCGCTTGATAAGTTTCTTTTGGTTTTCATCTTCATTTATTAAATGTTTCTGTTTATCTGTTATCATGTTCCTGAAAATTTGTTTCCAGACTTTCTTCCGAACTAGTCCCTTCGAGGAAGCATGCATATATTGAATCGAACTTTTGACATTAGCAACGATACCCTCAAGGACTTTTTCGAAAGACGGCATGCCAAATTTTAAACCTTTGTTCCTTATCAAACGATTGTGATTAATGATTTTTGACAATATTTATGACTTTCGGAGTGGCTTTTTTTGGTTTATTCTTAGATACAAGGATTTTGAGTTTCTTATTCAACGTACACATTTTCCTGATATATTTTGATTCAATCATCTGAAACATTCCTTTCTGACAGTCATTCTATTGTGCGTTATCATTTTAGTCTATCTAAATTGTCTTATATATCTTATATAGTCTTATATAGACTATCGCTATCTTATTCTAAGACACTACGGTTAGTGTACAGATGATCGATTTCTTATTCAAGCCATTTTTCTTTGACGAATTTCTAGACTTTATCAGCGACTGAAGATTCAATAGAAATATTTACGTAAACAAATTTTGGAAAAAGTTAATATCTTTTACAGCACTTTAGAAACCAAATATCTGCTTGTATTAGCCTAATTTTTGTTGAGTACTTACGATACAGATTCAGTTCCGTACAAGTACATTGTGACGGCCAGGTTAAGGGAACTTCGGGAAATCCAAAAGACAAAGTCGAGAATTTGAAAAGGCTGGAATTTACGAAATTAAATGTAAGAACTGCGATGCAAAATATTAAGGACAGACAAAAAGATGTATTGAAATAAGATATAAGGAACACTTAACAAACCTTGAATATGGAAGACCAAAAATTCAACAGTCGCCCATCATATTTTGCAACAAAGCCATTCCATAGACTTCAGTTCATTAAGAGTAGTTAGGCAAGTTAACAAAAACAGGCATTTGCCTATGAGGGTGTAGAAATAAGTAAACATAATAATATTATGAATAACAATGATGGACCAATACCTAATAGTATACTTTGTAGCTTGTTGAAATAATATTTTGATTATTAGATTTACCTGACTATTACATAAGGACACATTGTAAAATCAATTTAAGACTGCATTTCATCAGTTCGGACTTCCATTGTCTAATATGATATGGATTGATTTGGAATTCTTGAAAGAATTTGTAAAAATTAAAATAAATTAGCTGAAAAATAACAATTATATCAATCGAAAAAACTGAAATTATAATGAAATGAAATACAAGCAACAACCAAAAAATCAAAAAATTGAACTATTAACAAGAGATGAAAATTGAAAAGTAAAAATTATAAGATTTCAACCAAATTACACCACGCGACGTTCCGATTGTGGAATCGGAATTTTTTCATTGTTTGGTTGTTGCTTGTATTTTATTTCATTTCTATTTTAGTTTTTTCGCCTAGTATAATTGTTATTTTTCAGGTAACCTTTTTTAATTTTTACAAATTTTTTCAGGGATTTCAAATCAATTCATATCATATTAGACAATACAAGTTCGAACTGATGAAATGCACCACGAAACATTGTCAATCACTTTCAAACAAATAATTTAAGACTAGTAGATACGGCAATATTTTGAAATTAATTTAAGACACTCAAGACGCAATTACCCAGAAGAAGTATAGATAAGGATACCGTTGTAAGTATATTTAGTTTAATCTTCCTTTTGAAGATGATCACTTGGTGATCGAAACACGTGTCGAGGTGTTAAAATAACGGTTTGGTGTTGGGAAAAAACTCCAGTAATATTTAATTTGTTCATTCATTAGATATTGTAAATTTTTGAATTCTTTAATTTACACTCCAAAAGATTTGGTCACAAACTTTTTCTCCTGGAAATTAGGAGATTTGAAATCATTATTGAACTCAGGATTTTCTTGTGATCAACATATCATTTATTATCTGATTGGATCGTAGATATGTCTATTATTTCTAG